AGTTTCTTTTTGCTACTTCAATTTACGGTTAGAAGGTGGTCGTGAGCGTGTGCTACCAGGGAACAGCTCTTACAACTCAGAGAGGTATTTTTTATGTTATGCTGCTTTAATGTTTGGTTAATTATTATACTTTTTTCCTGAGGAAATATGTTTATTGCATCTGCTGCCTAGATGTTATTCTTCTTCTTTTAATTTGAAAATTGTGGCTAATTAAAATTCTTTGATGTTTAGTGATTGGATTCTTCTGTGCGTATTGCTTGCCTTGATTACCCTATAAACATGATTACAGATATATAAATCCACCTTCATTCACATTTTCTAGATATATATGAATGATTTCTAGAAAGCAACGGTATATATTAAAATATTATTCTTATTTGTATATAATAGAAAATCATTTTTTTTATTTCAGTAAAGTCAAACATGTTATTTGGAGTTGTAGAGTGATAATTATATATTTTACAACAGTATCATGAAAATTTAAAGCATTATGTATCCCATGTGGTTAGAGGCATGAATATGTTTTACTGCTATGTGTTAGGTTACCTTAATTATGGGTTGGATGATTTCTTTCCCCCCCCTCTTTTTGTATTAGAAAAAAAAAATGCGAAACTCTCCTCAAGTTGTAGTGAATTGTTTTCTTGTGACATATGAATTTTGAGGATAAAAATGGTCATACCTATACGCAGTTACGTAGGATATGAAGTGACATCATTATTGATGAAGAGGAATCAAAATATTGTATAGTGACCTTCATCGTGACATTCTGGCTTGAATCTAGGCGTTTTCACTGTCGATGGTGGCAACACTGGAGAAGTAGCTGAAGGGTGCTCTCAGTGAATTTTGTACTTCTTACAGAAGGGTACCCAAAACTGCAAATTTGGAGGGCTTCAACAAGAGCATAGAAGGTAAGAGGGGAGAGGGGAACAATCATCATCAAAAACATAGCAAGCAAGTTTGTTGGTGGGATAATCAAGTGCTAGAAGAGACAACACAATGTTGGTTGTGATGATGGGTGGTCAAGAATAGGGTCTGCTATTGCCACAAACAAATCTACTCATGGAAGTTCAGGAAACTTAATTAGGAAACTTCTAGATTTTCCACTTCCATTCACATTTTCCAAGCACATGTACATTTATTGTTGAATTCTAAGCCAGCCGTTTTCTTCATAATCATCCTTTTCAGATTCCTAGTGAGCATCATTGTGTTTTCACTCTGAAATATAAATCCATTCTTGGCCTCTATATATTGGGAGAGTTAGCATTATGACAGTTCATTATGGAAGGCTTTATTAAAAGCAAAGAAGCTAAATGAGACAGGAGATGACGGAGGAAATGAGGGAAGAGATCAGCGAGATGAAGAAAGAGTACGGTGATATGCGGGCACAATTGAAGAAGGATACTTTGATATGCGGGCACAATTGTTAGCAGATGTGCGAGCAGAATTAGCCTCCCCCTCAAGCCAACTAGGAATCCCCCTCAACCTTTCTCTTCTTTGTATAAGCACAAAGGAGAGTTGTGATGTTTCTCCTAAAACGCTTTTTCCACTCTTGATGCAGACTACGAGTTGTTTAGTGATGATGCCTACAGTGCTTGGTGGCCTTAGGTAATTTATCTTATTATATTGTCTAGATGTACTTGTTTGTTGAATTATATTCTTTGATATATTTTACAAATATTATTTGGATAACTTAGGTAAAATGTATTACATTGGGTGTTCAATCATCCACCATGAAACCATTACAACGGATATTATGATAGTGGTGGTTGTTAGACGTACGAAGATGCTAAACTCGAGTCCCTGTATGGCTATCCGGAGGTTCAGACAGGGGGACTGACCCCTGGAAATTTTTCCTTGGCCCTTAGATTATCAAGAGCAATTCTAAAGGAGGTAATTATTTTAATTACGCACTTGTTGTTTTTATTGGTCATAATCATAATCTTTGTAAGTTTTTAAATATTATACCAGGTTTGAAGCACAAGGGCAGGAAGATATGATGAATCACTTCAACAACCGCCACAACAAACAAATTCTTAGAACCACGTGGTGTGTGGGCAGTGGAAGGATCTCCCTTTTTCCTATAGAGTTAACAAATGCCTCCTGAAGTCACAAACAGGAAAACTTTGCTCTCTTTCTCATATGTCAGAGAGATATTTTTGAAATTCTCTTGGCACTGATATGTTATGTATATCAGTACTACAACTTTGGTTGTTGTAAGTAAATGTAAATTTTACATTTAGAAGTTTTAAATATATTCAAATATTTATTCTAACATTATTTAATTTCATGTTTAAGGTATTATCGGTTGAGCATTGAACGAAGAATGATCACATTATGGTTTTATGACCCTGTTGCCATTTAAAGACAGGGGGGGTGTGGGGGGGGGGGGGTTCGGGGGGGGGGGGGGGGAGGGGGAGGCGGGGCAGAGGGACGGGGGTGTGGGGGGGGGTGGGGGGGGTGTGGGGGGGGGGCGGGGGGGGTGGGGGGTGGGGGGGGTTGTGGAGGGCGGGGTGGGGGGGGGGTGGGGGGAGGAGGTGGGGGGGGGACGGGGGGGGGGGGGGGGGGGGTGGGGGGCGGGGTGGGGGGGGGCGGGGGTGGGGGGGGGGGGGGGGGGGGGGGGGGGGGGGGGGGGGGGGTGGGGGGGGGGGGGGGGGGGGGGGGGGGGGGGGGGAGGGGTGGGGGGGGGGGGGGGTGGGGTGGGGGGGGGGGGGGGGGGGGGGGGGGGGGGGGGGGGGGGGCGTGGGGGGGGGGGGGGGGGGGGGGGGGGGGGGGGGGGGGGGGGGGGGGGGGGGGGGGGGGAGGGGGGGAGGGGGTGGGGGGGGGGGGGGGGGGGGGGGGGGGTGGGGGTGGGGGGGGGGGGGGGGGGGGGGGGGGGGGGGGGGGGGGGGTGGGGGCGTGGGTGGGGGGGGGGGGGGGGGGGGGGGGGGGGGGGGGGGGGGGGGGGGGGGGGGGGGGGGGGGGGGGGGGGGGGGGGGGGGGGGGGGGGGGGGGGGGGGGGGGTGGGGGGGTGGGTGGGGGTGGGGTGGGGGGCGGGGGGGGGGGGGTGGGTGGGGGGGGGGGGGGGGGGGGGGGGTGGGGGGGGGGGGTGGTGGGGGGGGGGGGGTGGGGGGGGGGGGGGGGGGGGGGGGGGGGGGGGGGGGGGGGGGGGGGGGGGGGGGGGGGGGGGGCGAGTTGAGAATAAAGGTGAAGAGGTCCAAAAGTACCTCTTGGAAGCTTTTGTAACAGTTTCTTGTAGTTCTCTTGTGTTCATTGCACAAAAAACCTCGTACTTTGGCAATTAAAAGTGCACTAATATCGTAAGCTTTTTAATAATTTATTTGTTGTGTACACATAATTGATTTTACTAAGTTTCTTAGGACTTATTTTAATGTACATTTAACTTTATAGAGTGGTTGAGGCATATTCAAGGTTGTAGGGAATACATATCGTCTTTAGAAAGAGGTTGTAGGGAATACATATCGTCTCTAGAAAGAAGTTGTAGTTCATTGCACCAACTATAAGTAGTTAATCTTTCAAACTATAAATACAATTATAAATTTTATGATACTTTATAAATTTAACTTGTAGTGCTCACGTCAACCGGGAAGCTTTGAGTGCGGATATTATGTCATGAGGCACATGCAGAAAATTATATCCGCAAATGTCGTTGACTCATGGAATTTGGTAACGTGAACATTTTATAACTAAGATCTTAAACCATTAAAATTATAACTTGATTCAAACTATTCATTGTGTAGATATTTGATGACACGTCTCTAATGGAGCAACATGTCATAAAGGATGTTCGGGAGCAGTGTGCTGCATTTTTTTTAACCATTTCTAAATGATTAGATGTTTCAATGTTACATTTTGAGTTTAAGAACTATTTTATGTGTAACTATGTTAAGTAAGTATGTTCGGTAAATATATTTAGGAACTTTATTAGGTAAATATTACATTTTGATGTGTTAATAGAGACAATATTGTTAGGTAAATCTAGGATTTAATATTTTGCAGGTATGAATATGGATAATAGCACATACAAATAAAATATTTTAAAAAGTCTTGCTTTTTCACACCGGATATAACATTATTAGGTATAAAAATGAGTTTCTTTTATACCTCTTCTGCTACTAGCAGGTATAAAAGTGAGTTTTCTTTTAATAAGAGAGGCGACTTTTTTATACATGATATCAAAATATCAGGTGTAAATATCAAACTTTTATACCTATTACATAAATTATTGGTGTAAAAAAAATTAAACTTCTATACCTGTTCTAGAAGCGGTGTAAAAGGACAAAAACTTTCTTCACCCCTACATCTATAGCTACTCAAAAACAAGTATAAAAAACCTTTTTTAACATGTATAAAAACCTTTGTCATAGTTATCACATTAAATAAATTTTTTTAATAAAAACATGATAGAAAAAATATTCAAATCCATGATATATTTAACTTTTAACAAAACCTTATTATAATTTATTGCAAAATCAATCCTCCAGTATTAAATTTTCTTAAATGTTACATTACGTTTAACTAGTTAGAGTTAAGAAGGATTGAACACTCATTTATTGTAATTGCCATATAACTTCCTGGAGTTAAGATTCATTTAATGAATTAAGTCTGTAAAGAGATATATATGTATTGAACCTAGGATGATAACAAGTTATGCAAGAATGAAATAAGAGATCAAATAACAGAGTTACAAATTTAAGAACTAGGTCATTATAATAACTTTCAAATCAATTAGTGGATTTTAAGAAAGATTCTCAATTATACAAGTAACTTTTTATATTTTATTTTAGAAGCATTTTGAACTCCAAAAGTATAATAATTAAATAAATTTCTAAATTGTAAAATAGAAATACAAATAAAGATTATTCACGTTAAAACAAAAAATACAAAAAAATATGTGACAGAAAAGGAAAATCTTATTTTAGTATCTCTTTTCATTTCTAATAAAAGAAAACAAAAGTAGATGGAACATAACCCAATCCAGCTGTCAGTGGACCTCAACTTGGTTATTGTATGTTCCGCTTCCCTATGTTGGAGTCTGATGTGTTGTTGCTGCTTGCTGAATGGCCATATTGTCTGAAACAGCAGAGACTATTGGTGCCTTCTGTCAGGTCACACACAACAAAGAGGAGAAACGGAGAAGAGAAGGAAAAGACAATTAACTTTATCAACCAACCGCACTTTCGGCTACTTTCAATCTTCATGCAAAAAAGCACCAGCAGTGGTGACGAATCTCCATTCGTTCAATTACTTTCAATCTCCATGGAAAAGCAACAGTGATTCATCTCCATAATCTTCAGGGAAAAGCAACACTGCTGACGCATTCCCCTCCACATTCGTTCAATTACTTTCAATCATCACCCAAAAGTAGCACTGGTCACGCATCTCATACGTTGTTCAATCAATCATTCCACAACGTATTGACCAAAACAGCGGTGCCCACAGTTTTGAGGTTGTTATTGTTGTTCTTTCTGCTGCTGTCGTGTGGGGCCGCGGCGTGTGTTGCGTTGTGCAGTGAGGCGTTGCTGTATGTCACTGGAATACTACTGCGGTGGAGTTTTCTACGGTGAGCTCGCTAACCCTTTACAATGGCCACAGCTCAGGAAAAAGCGACGCCAAATAATCTCAGTAACAACCCCACTGCTTCTAAATCCTCCGCAGTTCCCTCCTCCTGGGTCCACCCCGCCACCGATCCCTTCCGAAACAGACCCCCCGTCTCCGCCCTCATGTCCGCCGTCGATTCCTTTCCCGATCCTCCTCCCAAAACCACCTCCACCACCAAAGGTATTCACTCAAACACCTTTTTATTGATTTCCCTTTACATTTCTTTTCCCAAAAATGGAGTTTCTAGGACTGTTAACATTTCAGAAAGTATTGTTTTGAAGCCAATTTATAAAAAAGCTAACATTTGACTCACTTTCTCTGTTCCTTGAAGAAAAATCGTTTATTTACTGTGCAAGTCAGTCATGTCATCATGGTAGACGATTCAACCATCTCTGTTCCTTGTGGATGCAATAATTGTTTCAATGACACCAACATTGTGTTTTGGCTTTACTGTGAAAGAGGGTGTTTGCCTCTTTCGACATTTTTATTTCTAGATTCCTCGCATTCCTCTTAATGGTCTTAGGTTTCCCCAACTACTGTCTCTGCATCTCCAACATTCCTTCTTGTTGCAAGAATAGGATTCTTTCTCCCCACCAATTGCCTCTAATCCTCCCTCTTCACTATAACATCTTTCTCCTAAAAATTGGCTTCTGAAAGTTACTCTTTGGAATGTCTGAAGTTTTTACACTAGCGGAAATTCCTTTATGGATAAAAGTTATATTTAGGGAAAAATTTGCAATAGAAGATATGTTAGTGAAAATGGAAGGGCGTAAATAACAATTTCAAATTTTAAAGATAAACAAAAATTATATGTAATTCTTTTAGAAATTACCTTGGTAAGCCTTTTATTATACGGATTACTAATATAACTAGGTAAGGAAGTCTATCTATGTTCTCTTGAAATCATCATTAAGTCTCTTAACATAGCAAGGATAAATCAATGTGTAAGAATGAAAAATAAAGCATTGCATATAACATTAAATAAAAATATAAAAAGGCAGTCATCGTGATTTAAATTTTTTTATTTTAAATATATTTTTCCTACCATTTCTCTTTTTGATTGATTTTGAGATATTTGCTGTAGTCAACCTATTAATATTGTGAGGCTTAAGTGATGTGTATTTTAAAAGCTATAAAGATAAGTACACAACTCAATCAGGTAGAGTAGTTTTTGACTAAAATCAATTTGACTCATTTGGTGAGTCAAAGATTGACTGTTATCATGTTGAAAAAACAAATGTAATTTGAAGATATTAGCATTTTTAATATTGGTTGACTACTTAAATATTTGATACTATTGTGTATATAAATAAATAAATAAATAAAAGATCATTAATAAAAAAATATAGTTAATTTTTATAGTTTTTTTTTAATTTGATTAGTCAATTCACTTAATCTACTAGTGCGTAGTTGGGTTGAAAATTTTCTAATTTCTATAGAGTAAGTAAAGTTTAATTGACTTGTTCGACACTAACTGATGTAGTGCTATCTTATATGAGCCTGATTTCCTCACTCCCACAAAAATGTGCACTTTGTGGTTTATGTAGTCCCTTAGTGGGTGTAGTTTGAGAGGAACATTTTTTAAGGATGTCTCTTTGCCAAATTTTTTGATCTGTGATTGAAGTCTTCTGCTTCTTTGATACAAAAGTGTCGCTACTTGTATTTTCAGGGAGATTTGGAAGCTTTACTACATTTTAAAATGTTGTATAAAACCATTCTGGTGCCTTCATCTAAAAATTTAAGCTGGTAGTGTTAGGTGAAGACATGTGATTAGTTTTATATGTTGAACAGTTCGGACTCGTCTTCTTTCCATGTTTTTCTCGGATTTTTTGTATTAATGTGTATAGAATTTTTTTATTCAAAGGGTTCAGTATACTCGCTCCCTAGTTGTTCTCTTTTGTCTTCAATGAAATTTCTTCTTCTATAAAAAAATATTTTCTTTGCTTATTTCCTGGCATAGGTATTCCAGTCATGACGAGAGCTCAAACTTGCCACCCTTTGGATCCACTGTTAGCTGCTGAAATATCAGTGGCTGTAGCTACAGTTCGGGCTGCTGGGGCAACCCCTGAGGTAGATTGCTTCATATAATCTCTTTCATTTTAGATTTAGCTTTAAACTTATTACCTAGTATGGTTATGATATGTTTGTGTTTGAATGTTTATGAATTTATATGGGGAAAACATCACTTACTTTTGCCAGCTTAATAATAACATTTGAAAGTTAAACGATTGTTTGTCCATATTTACCATTATTTGATTATTTTCTTAGGTGAGGGATAGCATGCGCTTCGTTGAAGTAGTCCTGGTAGAACCAGATAAACAAGTTATTGCATTAGCAGATGCATATTTCTTCCCACCTTTCCAGCCTTCTTTGCTTCCCAGGACTAAAGGAGGACCTGTGATTCCTTCGAAACTTCCCCCAAGGAAAGCACGATTGGTTGTTTACAACAAAAGGTCAAATGAGACTAGCATATGGATTGTTGAACTCAGGGAAGTGCATGCAGCAACTCGAGGTGGTCACCATAGGGGCAAAGTTATTTCTTCCAAAGTCATTCCAAATGTTCAGCCACCAATGGTAAATATGTTCACTTGATAAAGTTTTGCTCCTTATTATAATTTATAGTCTTCCTATTTGAACACCTTTGCTAGAACTTGCATCAAAATATTTATAGAATAGAAGTCAAATAAATGTTAATATTCTAGCATATTTGTTTTGCACATGCATGCAATTAAATAAACGTACTTGGAACAATTAAAGTACATGAAAATATCTTATCATATCATATAATAGATTCTCTGCTAGAATTAGTTTTCCTATTTTCATCATAACCTGGATTGGTTACCGTATTTCCTTATCATGGTCCGTTATCCAAACTTAGTGCTGTAAGTTTGATGAACTTATCCATTCATGATAATATATCTCAATTAATAGAAATTATTGTTTCATTCTCTTGTATGTCACTTCATTCCTCTGAATCTAAAACTCGTACTTTTGACAACAATACTCTAATATGTAAAATTAATGCAACCTCCGCACTTACCTGTTAGTCCTTATCTCTATTAGTTCCAAATCAGAATAGCATTGTGTAATTCATTCTATATGTACAGGATGCTGTGGAGTATGCTGAATGTGAGGCTGTTGTGAAGGACTTCCCTCCATTTCGAGAAGCAATGAAGAGAAGAGGGATTGACGACATGGATCTCGTGATGGTGGATGCATGGTTAGTTGCTAATTTGAGATGATTTCAGCACATTTCATATGAAGGTAGTTCATTGATTTGTTTTTTCTAATGGAGCTGAAACTTACAGGTGTGTAGGATATCATAGCGAAACAGACGCCCCTAGCCGCAGGCTTGCTAAACCACTAATCTTTTGCAGAACTGAAAGTGACTGCCCCATGGAAAATGGCTATGCTCGTCCAGTTGAAGGAATCTATATACTTGTTGACATGCAAAATATGGAAATTCTTGAGTTTGAAGATCGAAAACTTATCCATCTTCCACCTGCTGATCCACTGAGAAATTATACTTCTGGTGAAACCCGGGGAGGAGTTGATAGAAGTGATGTAAAGCCATTACAGATTATTCAGCCTGAAGGTCCAAGTTTTCGTGTCAACGGGCACTTCATTCAATGGCAGAAGGTGATTGTCTTGTCTGTATCTTTACTTTTTCTACTGGCTAATTGATAAAAGCTATGTTGTAAACTTGTAAAAGTAAATTTTTTTGTGTGCAGTGGAACTTTCGTATTGGTTTTACTCCTAGAGAAGGTTTGGTTATTTATTCTGTAGCCTATATTGATGGAAGTCGAGGAAGAAGGCCAGTGGCCCACAGATTGAGTTTTGTTGAGATGGTGGTTCCTTATGGAGATCCAAACGATCCTCACTATAGGAAGAATGCTTTTGATGCAGGAGAAGATGGTTTGGGTAAAAATGCTCATTCTCTCAAGAAGGTCGAGGCATTTTCTTCTAATCTAGTCAAATTAATCTTCTTTCTCAACGTAGATGAAATTAAAATTTGTTTTGCAAGAGGCTTTATTGCAGGGTTGTGATTGTTTAGGCTATGTCAAATATTTCGATGCCCACTTCACAAACTTTACTGGAGGTGTTGAGACTATAGAGAATTGTGTCTGCTTGCATGAAGAGGATCATGGTATTTTATGGAAGCATCAAGACTGGAGAACAGGTTTGGCTGAAGTTCGACGATCTAGAAGGCTGACAGTATCTTTTATATGCACTGTGGCTAACTATGAGTATGGATTTTTCTGGCACTTCTATCAGGCAAGTTGTTGTCTGATAAGATTGGCAGAGTTTCAACCATGGTTGAGGCTCGGTGATATACACAGAGATACTCTAAAATTTAAAATATATAATAGTTGGTGTCCCAGATTTTTAAATGAGAGTAGAGAGTACTGGCTTCAAGCTGAGGGTTCTGCTATGTACCCTAGCAGCTGAACCAGAAAGAAAGAAAAATTTTATCCTAAGTGCAAGATTAGGAAATGCATTCTTTCACTTAGTATGTTTATTCTGACTTTCATTGCTATGTTCTGTACTGTTTATCCTACCCCTCTACAGGCATTCATGTGTTTTGGTGGTGGATTTCAATGTTCAAACATAAGCATATGAATTGATTCTCTGATTTTCTATTTGCTGTTTCCTTCTTTCAGGATGGAAAAATAGAAGCTGAGGTCAAGCTCACGGGAATTCTCAGTTTAGGAGCGTTACAACCAGGCGAAACTCGAAAATATGGCACAACCATTGCACCTGGATTATATGCGCCTGTCCACCAGCACTTTTTTGTTGCTCGTATGGACATGGCTGTTGATTGCAAGCCTGGTGAAGCATTTAATCAGGTCAGAGTTCAACTAAAATTTTCTTTGGGCAAGATGCTGAAAGGAATATTTTGGATGCTCATACTTCAATATTTTGAGCCAGTGTAATGCGATTATTGCTCGTCTCAAATTTTGTTTTAGAAAAAAAAATATTTGCATGAAAATCTTCAATTATGTAGCTTGCATTCAGTAGCAGGATAAGCATAAGAATGATGGTGTTTTGAATAATACCAATACTAAGAGTACATATTAGTATCACTTTCGATAATGTCACATTAACTAACATGATCTTTGATATAGCCGCCCATGTCTGTATGAAGTTTCTGTCGTTTTTTACTTTCCTGTGATATTATCATGTTGAACTTCTTTTATTACTTAATAGTCCATGGTGTGGTTCCCTTTGAAAAAAAGGGAAGAATAGGTCTTTCACCTCCATCAAAATTCTGAAATTCAGGAGGTATATTCACAAATAATAGGAGAAAATAGTGACAAAGTTCTACTTCTCCGTCTCCAGGTTGTTGAGGTGGATGTCAAAGTTGAACAGCCAGGAGAGAATAATGTTCACAACAACGCATTTTATGCAGAGGAAAAACTGCTTAAATCAGAATTGGAAGCAATGCGTGATTGTAACCCTTTATCTGCCCGACACTGGATTGTAAGTTCTTTCCACTTGAAAGAAAAAATGAAACAAAAGATTCCATTTTTTTTGTAACCCTTTATCTTGCAGTTATATTACTCAAAGTGGGAATGTTTACTTGTTAAAAAAACATACTATTTAACATATTCTACCCAGTGTTGCTCACTTGAATTTCCTGTTTTAGGTGAGAAACACCAGAACGGTAAACCGAACCGGGCAGCTAACAGGATACAAGTTGGTACCTGGTTCAAATTGTTTACCCTTGGCTGGTTCAGAGGCCAAGTTTCTGAGAAGAGCAGCTTTCTTGAAGCACAATCTTTGGGTCACTCCTTATGTTCCAGACGAAATGCAGCCTGGAGGAGAGTTCCCTAATCAGAATCCACGTGTTGGAGAGGGTTTGGCTACTTGGGTTCAGCAAAATAGATCACTGGAGGAAGCTGATATAGTTCTTTGGTTAGTTCACTTGTTATTGTTTCACATGTTCGGATACTGTATGGACTGTGTCCTTGAAAAAAAAAAGTTGATAAATAATTTGCACAAATTTCTTTTTTGTAGTATCTCTAGTCGATATAGAATGTTTAATGGATTAACACATATTTGGCTAATAACTCTCTCTTTAAACTTTGTTCTTATTCATTCTGTGTAGATGTTATCTGACATGGTGAAATATTGCAGGTACGTGTTTGGTATGACACACATTCCTCGATTGGAAGACTGGCCAGTTATGCCAGTGGAACGCCTTGGCTTTCTGCTTATGGTATTCCACTCAAAATGAGCTTATTTTCTTGTCTTTCTTTCAGTGAAAATATTAATATTGAACTACTGAAACATGCTTATTTCCTAAATTTTTAGTCAATAAAGTTTTTCAGTGTGAATCTTCTTTGAAGTCTCCTAATCCAAAACCCAAGTTCATTTTCGAATATGTGAGAGAACTATATATTAAATTTGTAGGAGCAATTTCCATAGGTGGAAGCAACAAAGTTGTTTAAAGAAGAAGAATATTCTGTATTGATAGAATTGGCACTAATTTTATTCTGCTATTCATGATGCAGCCACATGGGTTTTTCAATTGTTCCCCAGCAGTAGATGTTCCCCCAAGTGCAAGTGATTTGGATGATAAAGATAATGGGATATCTGCAAAGCCAATTCAAAATGGGGTGATTGCCAAGCTTTAAAATGACAAAGCTAGAAACATATGACTGTGTTTATCATCACCTAAGTGAGTGCCTCAATATAATTTACAAAGTTTATTGTGTGGTCCACTTGGATATTTAAGAATAGGTATTTTGGTGATGCATGCGATGATGTAATTAGACATGGACTCGTGCAACTTCGGTAGGACAAATTACCAAAACTCTTCACATAATTTAGTATCAAACCATGGACCATAACACTTTAAATGTCTAACATCAGTAACATCTAAATAAAAGTAATAACTAAGATAATGGTCAAATTAAATAGTACTTATTGGAAATGAGTTTACTGTTTGGAGAGAATTATAAAGGTTTAAAACCGTTGAAAATTGTATTTGTGGTGTCAAAAGAATTGTTATATTATCCACAATACAAGATTGCAAGAATGAAGAGTTATTCAATTTAAAATTAATTTTATCATACTAGATTATTAAGATTTATATTTCAACAATTTTTTATTTGCACTTTTATTTTTAAAATAATATTTAAGTATTCTATTTTATTATGAGGACTTAATATTCTTAATTTTACTATACAAGAGTTATTTTTGTCTGGACCCTTAAAATTAAGAAAGTATATGGGAAATGTTTCCAAATATCAACTATATAGATTAAATTGTTTGATGACATAAATTTCATATTTTTTTCAGTTTTATAATACAGACTATAAAATTGCTTGAACATTCTTTTGATGTAAAAAAAATAGATTTTGAAAATTTACAACAAAAATTATACAAATAAAATAGGGTCCGTAGCTCAGTGGTAGAGCATTTGACGTGCAGTTCAAGAGGTTGTAATGTTGTAATGTTGTCGTTTCTTCTACATGGTTAGACATTTTTTCTAAGGATAAGACAAAGACTAAGAAAAATTATTTAATTAGAAATCAGGCTTGAAATGGCTAAATATAACTTCTCGTTTTAGTTTTATTATTATTATGTCATTTTTGTTATGTATTTAATGTATATTTATCTACTTTTAAATAGTAAGCATATTAACATACCAATAGCATCAAATACAATTTTTTATCGAAAAATAAATTAATATCTTATTTAAAGATCTCGTTATAAAATAAAGTGTTTAGTTTTTATTTTCCTTTTTTTAATAATATAATATGTTATTGTCAGAAGATAATTAATTCTTTGATGAAAGATTTGTTTTTGTTTTTTTGTTTTGATCTTATTTATTGTTAGATTTAAAAAGAAAAGGATAAACCAAGTCAAAGAGTTACAAAAGATATTTAATTAAAAATCAAGCTTCAAATACCTAAATATAAATATTTTTTGTTTGTATTATTATTATTATATGATTTTTATAATGTATTAAGTTGTATATTTATTTATTTTTAAATATTAACTATATTAACATTCTTATAGAATCAAATAAATTTTTTATTGAGAAAAAAATTAATATCTTATGTAAAGATCTCACTGTGAAATAAAGTTTTCAATATATTATCATGAGAATTGCATGGCACATTAAAAAAAAACTTTATATCTTATAAACAAGTTAAATTGTCCTTTTATAATGTTTTTTCTTTATCTTTTCTCACTCTGTTAGAGTAATAATTATTTTAACGTTCATAATTTATATTTTGCTATTGGCCTATCAGTGAAACTTGTTTCGAAATTACTTCTTAATTATTTGAAAACTTTAATATGAAATAGGTTTTTTTAGTATATTAAGAGTGCATACAAATAAAATTTATGCTCCAACATAATTACTATTGATCTCAATAAGACAAATAGTAATTATAAAACGTATAAAACAATTAATAGGAAATATTCATTTCATATTAATTATCACACTCAGAATATAAATCGTATACAGATAAAATACAAAATTAAAATTTATATTTACTGATCCAAATCATATTATGTAATATGAAATAGAAACATAGAATAATCTAACTGTTTAATAGACTTTTACATTAATCATTTAAATGTAATCATATAAAGTAATGTGAAACCACGGATTATTCAGTCTGAAGGTGAATGTCTGTATATATACTTTTCTAGAAGCTAATTCTTTTGAGTAAACCTGTAATAGTGTTTTGTGTGTGTGAAGTTGAACTTTCGCACCAGTTATACTCCTAGCGATGGTTTGGTTATTTATTCTGTAGCTATATTTGTTGAGGGTGATACATACAATCATCCAAATGATTCTCACTGTAGGAAGAATGCTTTTGTTGCAGGAGAAGATGGTCTGGGTAAAAATGCTCATTTTCTCAAAAAGGTGAAGCAATTTTCTTCGAATCTAGTCTCAAATTATATGCGTCCTTGAGTTTGAGGATTTTTTTTCAGTGAAGGAATCCACAGTCCCTTTTCATTCTTGAATATGAGTGAAAAAACTTATTATAAATTGTTCAGATAGTTGATTTAAGACATCAATGACGGATAATTGTACTCTCTCGGCTTTTCTCATGCTCAATTCATCATACATGTTATAGACATGGTGGAATATTCCAGGTACGTATTTGGTGCGACACATTTCACTCAAAATTAGTGCATTCTTTAACTGCAAATTTAGAGTGAGATTGATATATTGAACTTCAAAAGCATACTAATTGTTAGTGCGTTAAGCCAAGACAGATGCATTGCTAACTGTCCAAAATCTGTCATTTTACTTTGTATATAAAACACCTGTGCTGTTATTGTAAATATACACAGATACAGTTTATTCACTTCAAACATATATTCTTTCTTCCTCTGTTCTCGTTCCATTACTTATGCGGTGTTATAACATAATCTCCTAAGTTTTGAGCGCAATGTAGTTCTCGAAGTCTCCTAATTCAAAACTGAAGTTTTGGAATTTGTTAAACCATGCTGTCATCAGGGAGTTAGCATTGAGTCTTTGGGACCAATTTTCAGTAGCATCTGTGGTACCAATGGAGTTTTTGTCTTCTTTTTTTTAAAGAATACAGAATAATTTCTGTTCTTAGGAAACTCAGTTCAAATCCAGTTCAAATCCAGAATAATTAGGAAACTCAGTTCCTTCATTCACAAGGCCAATTCAAATCCAGAATGCGGTGCATACCAAACTCTATAAAATGACCAAAAGTAGAGACATAGGATTATGTTTAGTGCATTAATTTAATTTACAAATCGTCAATAACAAAGTTTGTTGTGGTCCACAGGGTATTTTGGTGATGCATGTGATGATGTAATTGGAAAATGATACTCTGCTTTATTGCTTTCTCTAACATCTAAATTGATGCTACCTTCGCTTGTGCAGAAAATGAAGTGTGTAGGATTAAAATAATTTAACCGATTCACTGAGTAAAATTCAGTTCGATATTGAATAGTATGAAAACTTCATTTCAATGCCATGGATTGGTAGAATTTGGCCAATACAGAATGGCAAAACTCTTCAATAATTGATGCAGTATACCAAACCAAGCAAATGATGGACCATAACATGAAAGTCCGCAATATTCCTTGCCCATCAGTAGTTGGTGTGATTATGATGGCTCAAGAATCATCGAATTACGGAACAGACGTGTAGTTTAAGGCACACTTAGAGGCTAAGTGAATTGATATTGCAGATATTTAAATGACCTTTGCAGGTGCATTAATGTAATCATAAATAAATCAGTTACCCGACAGAAACATTATCCTGTTCAAAATAATGTGGTCTCAACCAAATGGCGGTATGACACTTGCATCAAGCATTTGTGATCTTAATCAAATATTTTAATGCTGTATCAAATGTGAATGTTTAGTAAATAGAAGAGATGTCCAAATTATCAAACTCAACAAAAGTGAAATAAGATTTAAATGCAAATAGAAAAGTATTTGTGTCGTCCTTATTTTAAAAGGCGTTCTTAAATTGTGCCAAGTTGTGACATTGTTCTATTTAACTTTTTTTCTGTGGCATGAATTCAGTCTGCAGATGACTATATAGTAACAGTGCATTTGTCTCCGGCCATTGTGTTTAAATTGTTAGTTTTCTCTTATTTTATTACAAATTTGATTTTATGTATAAAATCTCAAATCTTGTTTAAAATTAATTTGACTCGTTCCAACACAAACCCAAAATCGTTTCTTCAGCTCCCTATTTTATAGTTTTGGACATATCAAATTGGTTAGGTGATTAAGACTTCATATATATATATAGTTGCCTTAGTTTATACGCAGCTTACTTTTAAACAATATGGCTGTTTTTTGGTTTTGAACTTATTAAACGAAGGATATATTTTCTTTAATTATGCAATTGTGTGTGCAAGGAAACATGAAGATATTGATAATGATAACAGGAAGCAATGACTTGTCTTTGTCTATTTGAAGGACGTTGACTGAGGGTTTGATATTGAACAATGCTTGCTAGGAAAGTGCAAAGTTGGGTATGACCTTCAAAACTACTCCTTCTATGTGTTTCTTAGAAGTGTGACTTTAAGTTATTATACGACTTCTATGTCCAATTACATTACAATCTTATGTATTAAAGTTAGTTTATAATTTAATTAGAAGTTTTTAATTTTAATATTGTATATTAAATATTTTTAAGGGAATTATCCTTATTAACAGTTTTACTTTATAGTAATAGGATTATATAAATGAATGAGACATATTGTCTAAAAATAAAGTAGAAAAAGAAAAGTTGATTCTACTTGTAGTACACACGTTTGAACAGTCCTTATAATATGTCCATTTTTATTTTATTTTTCATTTTTTTCTGTGGTCCTGCTTAGACAAAATTGGAATATTTGATTTTTCATTAGGATAACGGAATTAGGAGGTGGAAACTCAAACCAGAGTCAATTTTTTATTTGGGCCAATATTTTTGTGCGTGTTCATTGTTCAACGTGTCCAATTGCACGTTCGATAGTGTCTGGAAATTTCTGCAGGGCCTTTAATATTAATTCCACACTCAATCTTAAATGTCAAACATGCTAGATTAGTAAAAACGACAGATTAATTATTAATAAAAAATTTAATATTTTAATTAAATAAACAATTTCCAATAGCCTACTGAAGAGTATATGGAAACGTATATGGATTAGTAATTGGGAATAAATGAAAATGTATTAATATTGTTTTCAATTGTCAATCAAGATACGCTGTTTGACCCTCGACACATGTTAGGAATTGTTTATTTTATTAAAGGGTTTAATTACTTATTAATAATTAATATGTTTTGTTGTATAATCTAATAATTGGTATCAAAACTTATATTTACAATTATGTTT